CAGGGCCACACGGCGGCGGCGGCGGCGGCTCTTCCGCTGCGGGGTGTGGTTCTGTCCCCTTCGCCTCCCAGAAGGGGCGAAGGCGGGGGGCCCCGGGGCCGAAAAGGCCGCAGACCTCGGAGAGGGGCTCCCCGCAAACAGCAGAGGGCGGTGACCAACGCCGTTGGCTCTCGGCCGCTGTGTGGGCGACTCGAAAGAGTCAAATGTAAATCATGAAAATGTGTCGGAACGTGATGCCTGCCCTGCAGCTGCTCTTAGCTTGCTCTGGTCATTTAATGATGGCCATGGTCGAGGGCAGTGAATTCTACAAAATGATCTCTTTCTGTTTCTCTCCAGGTGTCTGTTCCAAAGTTTGACAAGATCCCTTGGTTTAGCGAGGCCAGCCTGGTAAACAAGCCATTAGTGCTCAGCCTCCCCAAAAGGTAACAGCTCGGCCCCTGGGGCCGCGGTGGCAAGAAAGGGCTCACAGAAGGTGATTTCCTAGGAGGAGGAGGAGAGGGTGGGATTAGCGGAGGGACACAGATGTCCTCGGAGAAACCCAAGTCAAGCGCCCAAAAAGCGGGGATGGCCTGGGCTTCTCAGACAGGAGCGAGCGCAGAGTGTGCGCTTGTCTGGAGGGGATCAGATCTCGGGTACCCCCCTCTGCCACCACCACTCAACGATCAAGAAGACTTCTGCCCTCGGACACTACCTCTCAGAACACTTTCACGCTCCGCATCATCCTACCTTTTCTCCTCTGGTGCAGTTTGAAGTTTTCACATTTTAACCATCGAAAGTCTAGAACCACAAAGTCCCATCTTTCTAGAGCAGCCACGGCCTGTGTGTAACTTTGAGACCAGCCTCCTCCGATCTCACCCGTCCCGCCCCTTCCCAACGAACTGCTGTGAAACACGGGGTTGTGCTTTTCAGAACCGGAGGGACCTGGGTGAAGGAGCCTTTCCGCGCTGCCACTTGAAATTACTGCGTTTCCTCATTCCTTCCCCTTTTTCGATCCCTGGGTGTGGTGAGGGGACAGGGAGGGTGAGTGTGAGGTAACGTGCAGGTGAGTGGGGGAGATCGGGGAAGTCGGGAAGGGCGGCCAGGAGGCAAGGTGGCCTGCACGCCGTAGGTGAAGGGTTGGCTCCCTGGTCTGTGCACAGTTTGCTAGAGCAGTGTAGTCCCTAGAGCTGTTCCTCCTGTTTGTGACTGTCACGTGCCCTCCTGCCCATAGACAAGTGGCGCTCCGTGGGGGACACTCTCTCCACTTCCCCACTTCCAGCGATGGGCACCTTTGTTTCGTCTGCCGCACCTTTTAAAAACCGCATTCTGGGTAAGCGGCGGTTTTATGTATTTTCAGAGCATCTGCGTCTGTTGTTTGGCCCGTTTATTTTAGCGTAACTTTGAGTATGTCCGAGTGGAATAGCTAATGTCTGAGTATAAAACAGGCAGAGATTCAACAACCCCCGGGCCTCGTTCGTGAAATAAAAACTCAGGGCACGTAGTTCTTGTTAAGAGCTGTTAGCGTGAGTGCTGACAGTTTAGTGTCTTTTAATTGGGGCCAGGGCGCAAATTCACATAACAAGGACAGTCAGATGACAGAAATGAGTAGAGCTGGCTGAATGGGAACTGTGGTGAAGGGGAGGTCACCTCCCTGACAGAGGGGACAGCCTTCCCTCTCCCCCGTCCACGGCGCCTGCAGATATGTGACTCTAGTCGCCAGATCACAACACCAGAGATCGGGCTTTCTGTGTGACATGGCTAGTGTTGGACATCTAAATAAGGTGACACCCGCATGCCATCCCGCCCCGTGCCCGTCAGCCCTGCCCCGCAGCCAGGAGCAAAGCACCCTGTGCCTGACTCTCTCCCCAGCTCCCTTGTCCTTTGATTACATAGCGTTTGGTGGAGGGTGGGGCGGGAGGGGGCTCAGGGCAGGGGCTGGAACAAGGCCACCCCAGAACACAACTGGTGCCTCCGAAGCTGTCCACTTTCACAGCCAGGTCCTGCGTGTCAAAGGGGCCAGTCGGAAAGGTGAGGGGTTGCCTTTTCCTTCAGCCGGCCAAGCTTGAGCTGGTCACAAGGAATAATTCTCTGAGGTGGTCAGTGATGCCCCACTGGGCACCAGTCTGAATCCTTGTTAAGAGAGATGGCGCTTACCTACCTCACGGGGAGCCCAAGACACTGACTGGACAGCACCTGTAGGTGCCCTGAGCTTTCGGGGGACAAGGCAGGAACGCCAAGTCTTTTGAAAGGGCAGTTGGTTTAAATATCGACAATTTCTAAGGGTTAGAAACTCCTCATCTGGCCAAAGCCCTGGGTTCCAAGCTTTGCTAATTTCCGGCAAAACCCCTGAGAGCTTGATAAGAAGGTTCCACGTGTGCGTTGTGTGCTGCTGCCTTGGACAAGCAGTTCTGACACAGAACAGTCTGAAAAGGACAAAGGAACATTGGGTGACATGAGCTCAGAGCCGCCCCAACTGCGAGCTCCGGGAACACACCTGGGGGCTGGAGGAGGCGGCTCTGAAGGTGGGTGTTGATACGGACCCACGGCCTCCGAGGAGGACGCACAGCTTGGCCTGACTGTGCCGAAGCCACACTCATCGTCAGTCTCAAAAGCCCTCGTATCACACTGAGGTCCTGTCATTTGGGATTGCCGTGTGCCTAAGCGTTATACAGTGGGACCTGCTTTCTCCTGCTCAGAGTTTGGGTGTCAAGTCCAAGGCAGGCTATTCACATGTCAAAGACAAAGGCAGTGAGGGGCTGGGTCAGCACCTCCCCGCTGTCCCAGGGCCCAGAGGATCTGGGGCGGGCAGGGGGCGGGGCAAAATGAAACAATGATGCCTCCTGAGCACCTGACTCCTTCCACGTGGCTTGTTACAAAGAACCCATGGCAGCGAAGGCTGTCCTCATTAGAGAGGCCAGGCACTAGGGCGAGGGGGCGGGCTCATTCTAAGCGTCCTCTTCTTGGGGGCGAGGGTCACACGTGGTGTCGCACACCTGGGCAGGTTACGATGACCGGGCCTGCTGCACGCCCTTACACTGGCCCTTACACTGTAATACAGTGAGCCACACTCAGGCAGGTCACCCCGTGAAGACAACTGGTGTGACCCCTGCAGTGTCAGTACTTCCCCTGAGGCTGAAAAGAATGTTCCAGAGAAAAAGTGTAGATGGAAGAAATGCATGGGTCGTGTCTATGAGCAGGGCCTCCAAGACAGCAGGCCAGGCAGAAGGACGGCACCTGTCAAAGATCAGTAACTTCTACGCTGATCTTTTCAAGGAGGTCTGGCGTGTTTCACCCATCGCACATCTGCTTCATGAGCCATTTTTCCTCCCTCAATTTGTACGCTGTCTCTGACAATCCACAGCTGGCAGTGCTTATTCAAAAAAAAAAAAGAGAAGGCAGAGTGACTTGTGAGGGCACAGCCGGCCACCTTTGAGAGCTCCGGAATGGCCTGAGCCCTCCAGGACTGGGGGGTGCGCTCCGGGGGTGCCCTGCAGGGTCTCTGAAACAACTGAGGGCCTGGCTCTGCCATCTGGAGACAGTGGGTCTAATTCGCTTTTGTTTCAATTACTCAGATCTCCTGATGGCTCCGCCACTTTTCTGATTTCATCTAAGAAGAATGTGAATTTGCCAATTTTGTTTCAAGTTCCAGATGACTTACCTAAGGTACTCAAAATCTTTTTAATTGAAAAGAACCCATAGCAGTCCTAGGGTGACACGTAATGCAAAGGCGCCTCCTATCTGCGGTCGGCGTTCAGCAGATATTTGCTGCATGGAATGAGTGAGCCCCGCGCCCCACGCCCCCATTCTGCCTGCAGTGCTTTAGGGCTCCCGTCCACCAGAGCTAAGAATAAAGCATGAGGTTAGGACCACCGAAAAGGGAAACCCCAAAAATTCATGTCGAGGACTCTGCCCAGAGGTCTTTAGAGACTGCGGCTCCGCCGGTGTCCGGAGCCAGCCCCCAGGCACCTCCTGGCTGGGCGGGAGGTGGAGGAGGAAGGCATGGATAACCACCTGGGCAGGTGAGAGGCCCATGCTCCGCCGGCTCCGCTGCAATACGCGTAGGCGGCCACTGGATGGCAGCCGAGAGCAACAGCCGGCCCGATGGGCGGAGCCAGAAAGGTGGGTCTCTGGGCGAGACAGGAGGTCACGAGTCCTGTGCTCTGGGTAAGAAGAACTCGGGTACCTCACCCTGACCCCGACCCGACCCCGACCCTGACCGTGACCCTGCCAGGGGCTGACCCATTGCCCGCGTATGTGGGAGGTATAGGGGGAAGGGCGGGGGCGCGAAGGCAAAATTTTACCTTTGCGCCTTACGGTTTTCAGCTGGGCCTGAGAGTTAAATTGACGAGGATGAGTCAGCAGGAGACAAGCATATCCGTTTATTTACGATAAGTTTTATGGGGGCACGGGAGCCCTCGCTAGGAACCGAAGACCCAAAGTAGCCAAACCCAGATGCGTTTATACTGGCCGAGCCCAGAGGGGCAGCGGTGGGAAGCGCTGGACCACGTGGGGGCGCTGCGGGAGAAGCATCTCAGCAGGTCTGTTTGTGGGGGCCCTCCCAGCTCCACCTGCCCGTCCTGGATGAGGAAGCTTGCCTTCCTCCTGGCAGAAGGCAGCCTCGCCCACGTGCGGTTTTCTCTCCTTTTAGGAAGAAAAAGGGGGCCCGTCTTGCACCTGCTGTTTTTATTAAGTGCCTTTAGCTCAAAATAATCTTCTGCCAATGTGGCATGTTTGGGAGAGGCACACTCTGCCACCGTCCACAGGGAACCGGGGACCCCTGTTCTGGTGGGACACCTGGCAGATACCCCAAGTCAGATCCCTGCCTGTCACACAGACACCGCATATCTGAATCTTGTCCCCAGAGTCACCTGCAAACGTGAAGGCCTGAGCGTGTCCGCTGTGAGGTAAACAGGCACAGCTGCTGTTTTCTGGGAAAAAAACGATGCTGTGTCTCGGGAGTAAACTGCACTGTGGACCCGCTGTCTCTGACCCCCTAAGTCGGCCTCGCAGCCACCGGAGGTCCTGTTCCCTGGGCACAGTACAGAGGTCCTGCCACGTGGCACCCTTCGTCTTCACCGTCGCAGGCCAAAGGGCAGAACGTGGCCCATCCACAGTCCGGGTGGCGTCTACTCTGCCCGGGAGCTGAGCTGGGTCCAGGGCGGGGGGCCATGTGTCTGTGGCAGTATTCCCTGATGAGCAGACAGACAGACAGACAGACAGGGAGCAGAGGCCCAGACACAGGAAGAGGGAGACAAACAGCCAAAGCTGAGAGACACAGAGAGAGAAGGGGACAGAAAAAGTCAGGGCTCACGCGAGGACAAATAGGAAACGAAGATGGAGGTCGCACTGTGCCAGCCTCCACTGCGGGCGGCTGCTCGCTCAGGACCCGCACCCGCCACCACCGGCCTCCACCGTGGCTCCTCGGCCGAGAACCAAGGAGTGTCACATGACAGTGGGATAACTGAGCACCAGAGCCAGGAGGAGCAGAGGAGGTGGGGGCGTCGGAGAGCAGCAGGGGAGACCCTGCATCCCTCTTCCTCCTCACTGGGGTTGGATGTGACCGACCCCAGTCCCGGGGATAAAATGCCACCCCACTCCCCACCCCCACCCCCACTCGCTCTCTCCTCTCTGCTAGGTGGGGGGTGTTGGTCCAGTCTAATGAGTCAGAGTAAAGACGAGAGTGATTTATTGCTTTTAGCAGACCTGTGACAAAACGTCCTGGCTAGTGACATCTGCAGAGATATAGCTGGGAAAATACACAGAAGGGCGACTTCCAAGTTTTTCACCACGGAGGACTCTTTTTAATATTTCTCTCGTTGGCTCTCAATGTTTGAAAGCTCTCGACCACCACAGAGGCTGCCTTGTATGCATACGCCTGCGCTCTCCTGTTTGTATCAATCCAAACATCTCTAATTACACATTCAGGGTTTTGTTCGTTTGTTTGTTTGTTTAAAGGAAGTGGTAACACCACTAGCCTGAGACACTGATGCGATAAAAAGTGCATTTAATAAGTCAGGACGGCAGGTGCACGACTGGGGCTTATTTTGTGTATGTTTGAAGCTTGTGCTCTAAACAGAAACAGAATTTTTAAAATGGCATCCATCTATCCATCCATCCATCCATCCATCCATCCATCCATCCATCCATCTATCCATCCATCCATCCAGCTTTATCGTTGAATTGAGATGGCTGATACTTTCAGAGAGCAGGAAAATGTTTAATTATCATAGGGTTTTTTGTTTTTTGTTTTTGTTTTTGTTTGAATATTGAAAATAGTTCTCTGACCACCATTTTTTGGCTTCTAAGGGACATGGGCATCGTTGTGCTGTCGTACGGACCCTGAGTCCGCGGTCCCCTGAGGAAAGGTGGGCTTCCTTAGGCCTCTGAGCCGGAGAGCCTTCTGGCTGGCCGAACGAAGTAGACGAGCTATTTGACAAATACCATAACCTCTCTGGGCCACAATTTCCTCACTGTGTCATTGTGTTCCTTGAAGGAGTTGAGCTAGGTGACCTGTGAGGCCTCTCTCAGCTACGGCAGGGGTGGAAAGGGGAAAGGAATGGAGGGGTCAAAGGGCAAGAAGGACAGAGGCAAATTTGTCACTGCCCCCCAAATCGTGCTTGCGGTGGCTATTTTTAAAATCACCATCTGGTGCTTACGTTTTCAGTTTTTGTCGTGTGGACAGAGGGAGAGAAATAGGGAGGGGGAGAGAGACACGTTTCTCTGTCTCTTTACCAAAGATTCAGGAGGCCGAAGACTTGGGCCACAAGCCGGATCTTGGCGACCTCGGCAGACAGTGATTCAGATATTAGGGTGTTTCCAGCTGTGAGATGTGGGGAGCAGGCTCTGGCTTCTGGGGACCGACGGCAGTCCGCATCAGACCTCGGCCAGGCCATGAGAGGCTGTTCTCACTCTCCCCACGCGCCACCTGCCGTCCTGGGGACAGCTGCTTGGGGAAGGAGAAGCCCCTTGACATCTCCAAGCCGCAGTCCCCGGTGGCTCTGACGCCTGGTAATACAACCAGGGGCCCGTGGTCTGAACCACTGGCCGGTCCACCATCCATTCCTGCCACCGCCGCTGAGCTGGCCCCACGGACACCGAGAGCGAAAGGGAAGTTGGCAGAAGGGAGACGCCTTGGTTTCAGGGCTGGAAAGAGAGCAAGACGGGGGGTGGTGGGGGCGGGGAGCTGAGGCCGGCAGAACGTGGAACCCCGCGTCTCGTGAGCTTCCTTGCAGACTGCTAGGCCTGAGTGCCCGCCACGCCGCTCCCATGTTGTGAAGCGCCCCGCCCCCACCCCGTGCCTTCGCCAGCTCTCCCAGTGCAGAGGCAAGGAGCAGCTCTTCTCAGAGGTGAAGCGTCACCTGACAGTGAGTCTCAGGTGGAGTCCCTGCCACGTTCCTGGCAGATGATGGGAGCCACACATCAAAGACTGGTTTTCACCTCTACCTGTAGAGTGGGCAGGATGAGAGCCTGCCTGTGTCTGTTTGGCCTCAGCCCATCAGCACAAGGGGTGGGAGGCCCAGAGACTTTATGTGACCGGGACGTCACTCAGGTCACTCAGGGAGCCAGGCCTGGAACCACGCAGAGTGGGCCCCCAAGCAGTGTCCTTCCCTAGCACGTCGTGTGGGATGAATTTGGTGCCCACGGTGTCCTGTGACACTCTGCTGAGACAGTGTCTTAATCATGATCTTCACGCACACGTGTATCTTGTGTTTTCGGTGTTTACAGGGTACATGTGAATGTTGGTTATGTCTGTGTTTATTCACAGCTGGTAGTTTAAAATGCTTACGACTCATTCATTCATCCGGCATGTGTCCCATGCCGACTGCATGCAGGACTCTGACAGGAGCTAGGAGTACGAAGATGTGTGAGGCATGTCCTCGCTCTTAAAGGACTGTTAGCAGGTTGGAGAAAACAAACAAACAGAAAAGCTGTGCGAGCTCCGAGCTCCCGGCGGAGTGAGCCAGGCCGGGGCGTGCAGAGCGGGAGGAGAGTCGGGGGAAGGTTTTCTGAGAAAGCAGCGCCTGAGTTATGTCTTAAAGGGCGAGGCACTAGCCGGAGCAGGAAGGACGGTACCTAAGACAGTCCAGCCTTCAGGCTCCGTGAGATGACAGCCATCAGGACTGGGGGCTCTGGGGCCACTTTCACTGGTCATTAGCCGGGCTGACTCCTGCCGTGCACCTTGCAGATCCTCGCAGTATGTCCGTGGCTGGATTTGCCGCGGTCTCTGTGGTTCCGCCCCCGCGGGGTCTGTAGTTTTCTCCTGCGGAAACCGGAAGTCTAGGGAAGGGGGAGGAGGCAACGGACGACAGGAAGGACAAGGATCTGCTTGCGACTGCGCACAGCCGCCCTGCCCAGGGGTCTCCCGTGCGCACCTCCGCAGTCCCGTGTTCCTCAGCCTTGCGGGCCGAGTGCAGATGCCACCTCTGCAGGCCCCTCCTGACCCCACCGTGGCACGCGGTCTCCCCTTCTCTGAAGGCCCAGACCTTTCATTGCTGCTTCTCTGATACCTAGTGCAGCCAAGTTCCAGTCAGCGATTTCCGAGAGGCATCTGAGTCTGGGGCCTCGAAGCCTGAGGGATGGAGGGAGGAGCACAGCCCAGACAGTGCAGCCCCCAGAAAAGGTGTGGCAGAGGCATCCTCGTCCTGGAGCAGAGGGCTCAGCCCCAGGGGCTTCCTCCTCCTCATTCCGCCCTCCACCCACAGGACAGCCTGGCTGTCCCCAGCCGACCCCAGTTACCTGCTAGCGCCTTCCTGCCTCCTGCGTAGTTGCACAGTGCCCCGGTGGGAACGCCCCCTCGCATGGCCTGCTGTTTTAACCCTTCTCAGACCCTTCTCCCTGTGGCCACCCTTGACCCAGTGTCCTCCAGACATTTCTATAGCAGTGACTTCCACTCCATTATACACAGTCTGCTGGGCGGTGACGGCTTAGAAGCTGCATCTTATCTAATGAATGGCAAAGGGATGGATATCTGTGTCCCTCCCCAGCCTTAGGGCCGCAAACTGTCTTATTCTTCTTGGTGACCCTCACAGTGCCCTCCACACTGGCCTCACACTAGCTGCTTGTTGAGTCCAGTCATGTGCACGCAGACCTAACAGGCTCCCCATGGCACGTCCCGCCCTACCATCCTTTTTAAATGGCCTGTAGAAATGAAACGTATTTTGAGTATTTGTCAGACGAATCCAACTTTGTCCATACTTTTCCGTTCCCAGCCCCCCGTAATGCCTCACCCAAGTGCCCTTCTCTCACGGGACAAAGGTGCTTGCAGACCCAGCTGACAAAGGTCACATTGGGAGCACACTCAGGCAGTCCCCACCCTGCAGAGCTAGATCGGCCTCTTCCTGTTGCTCACGCCTCCCGGGGCAGCAGGCAGGGTCAGGCACAGATGTGCGCACAGGGAGTGCAAGGTCTACCAGGCGAGCGACTGGCAGGAGAAGGCCTCAGTCTGGGGGGGTGGTCTGCTGTCCCTGGGCCCCCTCCCCGCCGATATTCTGCTCTTCCTGCGAGCATCTCTCACACTGATGGCGATGTGAGTGGGACGGGTAGGAGGGACTCCCCAGACGGGGCAGTAGCCTCAAGTTGCCATTCACTCCAGCGAGCAGCCAGGGCGCCCCCACTCCCACTTGCCTAGCTAGGAGGGGAGGCTCTGCTCCCCAGAGGCGGGGGGAGCCCAGGACCCACACTGCAGCTTATGGCTCAGCTTGTGCTCACAGGAGGTGCCAGAAGGCATGCTGGAGACCTGCTCTCCGGCCGGAGCTGAGGCCTGAGGAAAGGAGGCAAT